CCATTCAAAACACAGTGTTCTAGAAATCTTATTAGAAGCTCACCAGATTGGTCCCCCAAAGAAAAGCTGACACCTCTGCCCCCACTGCAGCATGCAGTCCTGAGGGGTACAGTGTGCAGTAAGGAGACCCCAGGTCCCACTCAGGCTCCTGCACTGCCAGACTAGTGGTCGCGAGTGAGCTACTGCAGCTTCTCCATGTAGGCCTAAGGCTTTATCAAGTGTAAAAACGGATGTATTAATAGTGTCTCCCAGTAAAAATCATTGTGAGGATTAAGAGTAACCCATACAAACTGCCCAGCACAAAGTAAGCACTTGGTGAAGTTTCAGTCCTACTGCTACCATCACCACTACTACCACTGCTCCACTGTTACCTGAGCTGGGTAGACTGCTAATTAAAACATCGAAACAACGCTATTTGCTTGTTAGATCAACAGGTTTTGTATTTGTAATGACTAACGTTGACCAAAGTGCAGTAAGTCACGATAACATTTTCCCAAAGTTACCCATAATCAAAAGTCATTAATTATTTGCTATAATTGAGCCAATAATTTTTTTAAAAAGATTTATTTATTTTTATTGGAAAGGTCTATATACAGAGAGGAGGAGAGACAGACAGGAAGATCTGTCCAACAGTTTACTCCCTAAGTGGCCGCAACAGCTCGAGCTGAGCCAATCTGAAGCCAGGAGCCAGGAACTTCCTCCGGGTCTCCCACACGGATGCAGGGTCCCAAGGCTTTGAGCCGTCCTCCACTGCTTTTCCAGGCTACAGGCAGGGAGCTGGATGGGAAGCAGGGCTGCCGGGATTAGAATTGGCACCTACATGGGATCCTGGTGTGTTCAAGACAAGGATTTTAACCTCTACACTATCGTGCCGGGCCTGAGCCAATAATTTCAATGCTAAATAATGATTCCTAAAGAAGTAAGCCAAGGTATGGAATTTTGATATACCTGAAAATGTTCATTACATATGTATAGAAAAAAAAATTGTATGAGTTAGATATTATGAAACATTACATAGCAATAAAACAGGATTATGAAAATGAAGGATCACGGGAGAAGGATTATGATACACTGCTATCTAAAACAGTAGATACAAAACTGTACATAATGTATGATTATGGTGTGAAGTAATTAATTTGCACAGGAAAATGTTAGTGTGTGTAAATGGAAAAATACGATAAATTTTTAGCATTCCTACTCTCAAGTTTTTGTATAAACATGCATCTTGACTCCAATGTGCTTTGATGAAAACCAGGTCTCTCACTGAATCCCTTTGTGCATTCATTTCTTCTGACAGTGCAGATCGCACCCGCCCAGTCGCGGCTTTACGGAGTGCACTGCTGCCACAGGGGAACCAGAGTCAACACCCCTTGCCTTAAGGGCAAAGGTCATGATTCTCCACCATGACAACCTAATTCCCATCTTATCCTCACTCCTATCCTTTCCACTTCCAGGTTTAGAGAAAAGCAAAACGGAGCAAGAAAGGAAACCAGAGCTTTACTCATGGCCCCCGAGGGTCCAGGTGCCCTGGCACTTTCATCTCTACCAGCCACACTGGCTCACTGATGACAAGAGCCAGGGAGACGCAAGTCCACCAGGCCTTAACTAGTGGCCTCACTAAGGAGATTTCCAGAGAGAAGCTAAAGTGCTTTATAATCACCTGTCTGCACCCTTGCTCATCAGAGTAGGTAAGAGGATTTCTAAGCTATGGCAAAGCAAGAATGAAAGTGAGTCATCTAAGTTCTTTATTTTCCCATAAGTTCTAACAGCTGTCTCTTCAGACCTTCCTACCTGCAGGTGAAAAGGAATGAGGTCTTGACAACATAGTGAGTTGGACAAAATCACTGAAAGTTCTTCACATTCTGATCCCACGTTTGTAGTATGAGGCAGGAAGGTGGTCTGTGATGCCTGGCAGTCAGCTCGTTCTAGTCCAGGAGACCATGTTACCGCACAAACATCTCCAAGAGCTTTAAGGACAAAGCGACATGAGTGGATTGCAAAGGAATCCTGCTTGTGTCTGGGTTCACAAATAACTGAATATCACACACTGCTAAATTTCAGCTCAAACCCTCAGAGTGCAGGCTATGTTAAATGTGTCTGAAACAGGGTTGGATTGGACACAATCTTTGTTTACCGAGTTGGCCAAGTGCTGAACCACTGGAGCCATGCTGGCTAGTCATGGCCAGGTTCACAGAGCAGCCTTGTAGTGCTGAGGTCCAGCCTCAATGAAGTGCCTGTTATGTCTTGAGACATTTTGACGTGTCATGTCAATGCAGTGACCAGGCCTGGCATTCAGCTCAAATCCCTCCTATATTTCTTCCTCTAACGTAATAACTTTCCACAAATAACTGGGTAGACCTTTAAGAAGTAGTTCCCTCCTCCTTTGACCATTTCTGCCACCACCTACTATACCTGTTTCCAAATGACAAAAAGCAAAATGACCCACTTTCCACACTATCCTCTAGCAAATAGGAAAGTCAATAAAAGAAGTTATTTTCACTCCCTTTAAGATGCTGAGTTAAATGTTCAGGAAAGAGTGCAAACTATCATAATCAGACTACGGTATAATTCTGGAATAACATGAGTTTTCTACACACAGTAAATTGGTGCAATACAAACACCTCAGATCTGCCAGTGTTTGAGACTAAATTTATGGCATAAAGAACAAACAAGAGGTGCTTCGTTGCTGTGGCCTGATGGCAAAGAGCAATGCAGCATCTTCCCTCCACCACCTGAGTCTTATCCTCCCCCATCCTTCATCTGTCTCCTGCCCTGTCCCTCTCCATCCTAATCAGTGGCCTCCATGAGTATGCAGTCCCTTCATTTCTATAACAGATACTAAAATACAGAAATCTATATTAAGAAGAGAAGAGCAAGTCTTTAAGTTCCACCCTGGATCCCACAATGGGGTCAGATCATGCCCAGTTCAAGAAGACTGACTGAGTTCTGCTGCCTGTCCAGAACTGAAAGTTGGCTATGCTGCTTCAAAGCAAGCACTCCCAACCTATGGGCACATGTGCCTGTGGCTGGGAAGGGAGTGGCAACTCAATGGGCTCTCTCAGCCAAGTGTCAGTCACTCCCTTTGCAAGGCATAGCCAGAGTATGACCTGTACATAGCTGCTTGGGGCTGCCTGGGGAAAGCTTCGTTCATCCATCTGAGATGCAGAAAGCCTAGCTCATCCAACCTAGATAAGGAAATCCTAGCTCATCAACCTTAGGTGGGAAAAGCCTAGTTCATCCACCTTAGGTGGGGAAAGTCTAGCTCACCCACCTTAGAAGCAGATGAGTAAAGCTCTTTATGAAAATGTCACATCCAATTAAGGGCAGTGGTCACTTGTCTTCTAATACTCTATGATCTTCATGTACAAGCTCATCAACTTCTAACCACTGGTAACTCTGAAATTTCTATCTCCAGATCTGGTTTCTCCCTATAGCAGCTTGATTTTCAGTCGTCTATATTTCCAGCTGCCCTACTCAACATCCGAATCTAACCCGCCAGTCCCATTTCCCCACCCATGTTAACATACAATACTTTTCTAGTTTCACTGTCTCAAGCTTTGGCTGCCCTCACCAGTTCTAACCTGTGTTGCTTTAACCAACCTTCAAGAGTCTCCACCTCATCCTGCAATATCACAGAGGTTAGCTACTCAACATTAACATGCAGTTCCTATTTAAAAATGTTGCTTATGGGTACACTTTAAATGCTTTAGTATGACACCAACTGGTCTAAGCTTCCCAGTCCAAACACATGGTCTGCCCCTTCTTACCACATCCTAGCACATCCTGATCTGCACAATCACATTATATAAACAAATCTTCACACCTTTTGTCTGAAGAAATGTATTTCCCTATGTTACTTTAACTCTACCCAACAACTCTTGTTAAACAGTATATTTATTTACTTCTCTTCATCTACCTAAAAAAACCAGAAACAAATAGATACACAGAGAAGCAGAGAGATCCTCCATCTCTGGGCTCACTCTCCACGGTCCACAACAGCCAGGACTCCATCCCTGTCTCCTGCAAGGATGGCAGTGGCCAGAGCACTTGGAGCCATCATTGCTGCCTCCCTGGATGCACGATCAGGAAGCCGGGCTGGAAGCAGAATAGCCAGGACTCACGCGTGGCACTCTGCTAGGGGCAGTAGCTTAACCTGATGCGCCACAATGCCTGTCCGTCCCCTCTAACTCTTGGTGGTCCTTTAAGACCTCCTGTGGGAAGTGTTCCTCTTTGTCCCAAGCTGTGAGCTGTCCTGTCTACTTCCCGCCCCACCCTGGCTCTCTACAGCTTCTGCCCTGAAGCAGCATGCTGGATGCCAATGGCAGTTTTGCTGGTCTTTGCAGAAACCAAAGCTTTACTCTGGTACTGGGCTCTGCACAGAGCTACACAGAGCACACCCTCAGACAGGGCTGCTGAATCCACCAAGTAACTGGGCCAAGAACACACTGGAAGGCCATGGGAAGCATCATGGCCAGGGAGGGAAAGCTGGGTGATGATCAGCCCCCAGCTTTCTCAGTCATGAGCAGCGAGTACTGATTAATCTCTGCAGGCTTTGGTCCCCAGCTGTTAATGAAGGGTGGGACCGTGTGATTTCCCTTGTTTCCATAACTTCTGTTGTAACAGATTCCATCTTTCTTTACAACCTACAGTGAAGAAGGACTCCATAACACCCCTGGATGATGGCATGTTCCAGATGTTAGGACATTGTCCAACAAGCCAGCCAGGAAAACTGTGATTCTTCCAAGCCAACTGGGCAGAGTTCCCAACAAAGGCTATCAAGGGAGCCTCTACAACCCTAAATCCCCAACTGCCCTCAGTCACCTTGTGAGAAAATCTCCAGTTGCCTTCTACTCTGCTTCACCTTACATAAGTTGCCCAAAAAGCGGCTTATTAAATGGAATGCCCAAAACCAACCTGATCACGGAAACCAAAAATACGTGCTGCCGACAGGACGGCTGAATGTAGGAAAGCCGAGCAAAGGCTCTCAGCTGCATAATCACCTGGTCACCCCGTACTCCGGCGGCGGCTGGTACCTCAGCACAGCCACTTCCGTCCTTGCAGGCTGCGGTGTAGGGTATGGCTTGACCATCTCATGCAGCACCCCAGGGTGCTGGTCACTGTAGAAAAGTCCATGGTCCTGGTTCTTGGTGACCAGAGACATCATGGGCTTGGTCTTAAAGGGGTATTCTGGCGGTGGACCTCGAGGGTCCAGCACTTTGCCAGCCGGTGGGGCAGGAGAGGGTCCCCCTCCTGCCTTGAACCCCTTTGCACTCCCTGAGCCAGGGAGATGTTGCTTGGCCCCATTCCTCTCCAGGGACAGCTGCATGATTCTCTCACTTAGAGAGCGGACGTGACCCTGCTTCAGTTCCTTCAGTGCCTCGTCCTTGTGGGCCTGTCCACTGTTGGCCCGGTTCACTGTGGGCCTGCCCTCTGTGCGGGCCTTCTGACTGGTGCCCCCAGCCATGTAGTACGCATGACCCACAGCCGCCTGCTGCGGAGGTGGCGGCGGTGGCTGCTGCTGCTGCCCCCTGAAGAACTGCGACTGAGCTTTGGCCTCCTCATAAGTGGGCAGCTCCTCGTTGTTCTGCTGAGGCTGAGAGGCTCGGACCTGTTTCTCCATCACGGTGTTGTCCACCTGGTGCTCTTGACCCTGAGGCTCCTGGCGTGCTGACTGGTAGACCATTTGTGGGTCTTCTTGGGTGAGGTTTTCCGTGGAAGAAAAGCCGTTTGGAGGGTGGGCTGGTCCTGCACTCCCTGTGGCCTGGTGCTGAATGGCCAGCAAGTTCATGTTCTCGGTCGGGGTGCCATATCGCAGTTGTTCCTGGATCAGCCGCTGTAACACTGTTCCAGCTGCTGCATCCTCGGAACCTCTCATTTCCACCTCTGAGACCCTCAGGAAGTTCGGGGAGTAGAAGTTATAGAGAGGATCTTCAACTGAAAGACAAAGAGAGGGGAATAGGATCAGAGAGTTCCACAAGAGGTACCTATCCACACATGTGAGGTGAATAATGAATGGTCCAACCCAGCAGCATTTAAACACAAGATCCCACACACTACCTTCACATCCATCCGCCCTGGAAGATCTGATAAAAGCCTTGCTCCAATCCAAAACCATTTTATCACTCTCCATTCCCTTTCCTGCTTCCTCCTACACTTTTCCTTCCTTTAACCCCACTGCATAAACACACCTATGTCTTTCTCATCTTAAAAATATAATACCATCAAAATCCAAAGTCAAACAAAAAGAAATCATCCTCTGTGGTCCTATCATAGAGCCCTAATTACCTCCTTGTTCCTCTCCTTCCTTCTTTTCCAGGTGTCTTCAGTAAGCATCTTTTGTTTACTGAGTTCACTTTCTAAACACTCCACTTGCTGCTCAGGCATTACCCAAACTCAAAGAGCATTTTCAGGCACATCATCCACTTTCTGAACCATCCGACATGGGTTATCACTCTCTTCTCGAAATGCTCTCCAAGCCTAGCATCCGGTTTACCCTGCTGGCTCTGGCCCATGTCACTTTGTGTACTCTCTCTAGCTCCCTTGTCTCACCCTGGCCCTTAAATCCTGGTATTTTCCCTGCACCCAGGTCTGTCCTGGGTGTTCTTCCACCCACACTCAAGAGAATCTCCCTGAGTCATCACATCTATCTCTCATCTTCAGCTATCCACTGATTCTTGCATCTACACAATAGCCAATGGTGCTTACAGCATTACAGCTCAATATGTCTTCCTTGATTCCCAGTCCTCATCCACGTACCCTGTCTCCCTTCCTTATGTGCTTTGCGTCAAAGAAACCCAGGGGTTTTTAAAAATTTCCTCCTCTCTCTTATCCCCAATGCCACGGTGATATATTGGTTTGGGTGTTCCCCCAAAATTCCATAATTGAGCTCTTGCTTTCCGTGGTGGTGGCACTGGAAGATGTTGGAACCTCTGAGAGGTGGATTCCAACGGGAGGTCCTTAGGTCGTTGGTGATGTGCTTTAAAATGGGAATGCGGAACCAGAGTCTCTTTTTTCTCCTTGTCTCTCTGACCTCCTGCATGTGTATCATGAAACCTTTGACATCCTCATCCGTGGCCAAGCCATAGGATTGCCAGATCTTGGACTTTGAACTTTCACAAGTGTGAGCTAAAAGTATATGGTCTTCAAAAGTTAGCTGTCTCTGGGGGGAGGGAATTTTGGAGGAGGTAGGGGAATCCCACAGCCTATGAAACTGTGTCACAAAATGAAAAAAAAAAGTTAGCTGTCTTAGTAATTTATTATACCAATGCAAAGTTGACTAGTGCACTCAATATCCACTCAGTTATTGTCTGGCAATTCTACCTGCTAATCTTCTCTAACAATATTACTCTTTATTTCCAAGCCTGTTTCCAAATTGATTACTAATAATCTAAATACAATCATCAGAACTGTTTTTTTTTAAAATATCCATGATGTGCTGGGTATCATACTAAATTCTGCATGTAATGTTACTTCTTTTCCTTCATGTTCTAGCCTATGAGGCAGATATTAAGTCCCCAAAGTTGCAGATGGGAAGAAAGGCTCAGAGAAGCTAGCTCACAAAGGCCACGAAGCTAAGAGACAGATTCTGAATCTATGTTTATTGCAGAACATTACAAGTCCTTGGTATCTCACACACAGAGGATGCCAACAATTTCCTTATCCGTGTCCCTGACTCTGGTGTCACTCTCATTTCTAAACACACTAGCTAGAAACACTGTTTTTACAGGAAAATCTAAGCATAATACTTCTCTGCACAAAATTCCTCAATGATCAGTAAGATCAAGCTAACATTGTACCACAAAACTTCCTGGAGTTGAAAATCCCAAGTACATGTAGTTTTCTAATATACAATAGCTCTCTCTGGCCTCTAGACCTTTCCTCATTATTTCCCCAGACCAAAATGATGCATCTCACATCTCCTGTGAAATTCCTAGGCATACTTCAATATTCCCAAATCAAACTCTGAACAAAACCTTTCCTGTGGCACCACAGCAGGCTTGAACTTTCCTCCTGCAACATATCCACTCCATTAGTACAGATCGCCACTGAGGCAATTCCCACAGTAAATGACGATGGTTGATTTACACAAGATTCTGAACTATCCCAATGTGTGCATGTAATGGAAGTCTAGACATTTAAACAGTAAAAGAACACTTACATGAACTGGAGAAAATATATTAGCTCATTTCAAGATGGTCCTTTTAACTAGTCCCTTAAGGTTACTTTATGGCATAATCTCAGTAAAAATTCTACCTCTTACTATGGTTAATGGCTTGAGCAATCCCTCACTCTCCCTGAGATTCTGTATCATTACTTGTGCTGGACAGAGCTGAACTGGGGCATCTCCAGGCAGCCTCCGACTCTACAATTCCATACAGTTACGACTGTGTATTTGCACATACTTTGAACACAGAGTTTCCTCCCAAAAAACTTTATTCCTAAAGTGCATCTTTTTTTTCCCTATAAAACAGCATCTTCATTATCAGTTATCCAGAGAAAAAATGTCATAATCACTTTTGAGAGCCTCCCTCCTTTGCTCTCTACATTTAGTCAACTGACAAACTGAGTTTTCTCAGCCTACAGTACAATGAGGAGAAATAAAGGCATTGTGGTGTGCTTACATGATATACACAAATCCTGACCTAGGTATCATGTGTGTATACACATAGGCACAGCATCAAAAGGGTTACAGCTGGTTTTGGGCAAGGACTGTCAAAAATCACATGTCCTCGTAGACTACTGGAACAGATCACAGACTCCATAATTTAATCCACACATCTACAATCAACTAATCTTTGACAAATAGACTAAAATCACTCCCTGGGGAGAAGACAGTTTTTTCAACTGCTGTTGGGAAAATTGGATCTCTGCATGCAATAGTATAAAACAAGAATGATACCTCACACTCTATATGAAAACCAACTCACAATAGATCAAAGATCTAAAAATGCAATAAATATTAGCATAACTGACATCCTGAAATTTGATTATTGTTTATAGCCTTTGTCTGTACTCTTGAGAAATGATGATTTTTCTACTCAATACTTGTTGAAGTCTTTGTTTAGTGAAGGGTTAAGCTTGTGATTACAAATAAACTCAAAGTATATCATTGTAAAAATTGAAAAAAAATAAAGAAGGAGTGAAGAAGGGTATCTTCATGCTGTTGAAACTGTATAAATGTAATTTGTTCTGTTTATACACATTTACAAGTTTTTAAAAAATTACAAGTCTTAATTTTCTGTTATTAAAATATGAGAAAAAGATGACAGTAGATGACATCCTCACGCCTTTCCAACAGCAAAAGTCTCCAACCCACTGTTGTCATTTGCATTAGAACGTCCACATCTTTAAAGCTGGAACCAAGCCCCGGCTGATCCACTTGCTTGCCTATCCAGTCTGCTCCAGCACACCCTCAGCCACTCGCGATTCTAATTCTCTTTTCCACTGGCTTACCTGTCCTGAATAGTCCTTAGCCTCTCCTGCCCTGGCCATTTCTCCCTTCAATCTACCTTGTATTTATCATGTGTCTTCCTCTCCCAGAAGCCAAGCTCCAGAGGGCAGACAAGTGTTATACCTGCAATGCTCAATGCTGCCCTGTCATGCAGAGGCACTCATGAAATGACTTCTGGGAGAATCGCAAGAATTTTACTGACTGGATCCTGAAGCTCAACTTTGATCTCTCCCTGTCTTGGCTACCTAAAAATGTCTCACCTCTGTGACCTCGGGCAAGTTGTATGACTTCTCTAAAACTGTCTCCTATAAAACACAGTGAGACTTCCTATCTGCCTCATAGATGCATTTGTGCAACAGATTCAAAATTATTCTTTACATTCAAACAATGTATAATGTAACTGAGGGATGAAACAAAAGTTCAATCATGATACATTTTAAACAAACAAACAAAACCAATGACTAAAATCCACATCAGAGGAACTACCAAATACCTATAATAAATAATGAACAGACAAAGAAACTTTCTAGTACATTCTAGGACCCACTCATTAATTTTACAAAGATTTATTGAAAAACTATTATATTTCAAGTCCTCTGATAGGTGCTGGAGTTAGAACAAAAGTTAAGATGTAGTTCTTACCCTCAGGATAACTGACTTGAACAATTTAATAGAACAAGCACATTCAAATATCAAAATGTTTTTAAGAAAATCAAAATTTAAAAAGTCCAAAGGAAAATATTTCGTTTGAATAAATAATAAAAGGAATGGGTCTACTGAATAAAGAAAGAAAGGAATTACGGGCATCTTTGGTAAGAACATGAGATCCTTTTCTCAAGATATTTTTAAAGAGTCCCTGTAGTTTTACCAGCCTCAAAGAGAAGGCATAATGCAATGTGCTAAGTTTTAAAACAAGATGGAGAATAAAGAAAATGTAATTTACAGGAAACAGTTAAAAATGAAACAGAGATTACTTTGCTTTTCTAACACAAATACCAGTAGGACTTACCAACTTTTTCCCTGATGCTACTGTTGGTCTCCACCGTCAAAGCAGATGCTTCATGCCTTCCAGAATAGAGCTGAAAGTCTGGAAAAAAGTAGTTGGAACTTTCTAGAATCTGGACAGGACTACTGGGACTGTAACAACCAGTGGAGGCAGCTGGGGGAAGAGAAAGAAAAGTGAATGTTAGTGCCACTGAAGTTCCGTCTTCCTGTATGACTCACGAAAGCTCACGAGGCTTTCTCCCACATTGCAACTCGTAATGGGAGCTCTGTCTTCTTGATTCACAAAATTCCAAAGTTACTATTCATCATTATGACAAGTCCAGCTTCCCACCAACATGACCCTGGAAGTCACATGACAATCTTCAAGATAATGCTCAGCAAACACACAGATGCTTTCACACAACCCAGGTTCAAGGGCATCAACAGCATCACCAAGTAAAAAACCAAGTCCTCTGCAGAACCAAACAAGTTACAAAGTTTGGAACAGTCAGGCTGAGGGACAGAAAGGAGGGAGGTAGGGGCCCAAAAAAGGAAAACTGAAATGGGAAGAGCGGCTGCCTTTGGAAACACATGAAAGATACAAAGAGGGAAGTTTATTTTGCCAGACCATGTTCAGTGAGAGACTATCCCAGCACAGGATGGAGCACTCAGCTTTGTTCAAAAGCTTCTGGAGTGTCGTGTTACAGCACGGAGCTGGAGTTACGGGTTCTGGTCCTCGGCCAAGAATTGGTCTTTCACTTCAAGTTTATCTGCTTCAAACACAAACCGGAGTGCGTTTCCAATTCCAATTAAACATGACACTCTATTCAGCCCTACAGTCCCCAAACATGAGATATTGCTACAAAAACACTGATACCACACACACAACATCCGTGGGAATGCTCGGCAGGATGAGCCAGGCCTTCTTCCATCTCTGCACTGTTTTCTCTATGTGGACACCAGGTTATGGGATCTTTTAGAAAAGTTAGTTTAATCTGGGGAAAGAGGCATTTTTTTAAAATTAAAATCTTTGTGCCAAAGAAAATTTCATTAGAAGGAAAAGAGATTTAAAAAACTGTTTCAAACAGTAATTTGAAATTTCTTGCCTGGTTTGCTACCTATGCATTTCCCACAGGGTCAAAACTAATAAGTGACTGAGTATTCCAGAAGGCCATGAGATGGAAATGTGCTAATAGTTGTCCTGAGTGTCTCTGGCCCCACAGCAACATGAGGTTGGGCTTGCATGCGTGCTCATATATACCTCAGGCATGTCTGGACTAGAGAGAGAAAAGTATTTGGATGATGAGAATATTTACTTCTAAATAATGCAGCTGTGACTCACCGTAGAGAGGAATACACCTGAATAACAAAAATATCATATAAAGATGGATCTGAAACTACAGTTCCAAGGCCTAGGGCAGCATCCATTCGCCTCAGCTTTTTGGCCAATCCACAGGACTACCCCCAGAAAGAAGCATAATCCCTTTCTGGGCCTTTGTCCTCCACAAACCAGGAAGGCTCAGCTATACCTAGGTGGGGCTATAAACCAGGGAGCCTATCCACAAAGGTGAATCCTGCCCAGGCTTTCACTTTCAGGCAGGTGGTAACTAGAAGGATGCAAGGGCTGCACATAGCAAGAATGTGAGGAAACTTAAAATCCCACTACCCACACCTCCCTCAGAATTTCTCCTGGTTAGGGAGGCAACAGAATCTCATAAAGCTCTGCAAATGATTCCAATGTGCAGCTGAAGTTGGAAAGCTCTAAACTAGAGGGGCATAGTGCACACAGAGAAAAACCAAACCAAACCCAACCCATAAAATACCTTTCTGCTGAGAACTCATACGCTTTAATGAAGGAAAAACATTTCTTAAAATAGATCTGTATCAGGAGAGCATGTACCAGCATATCAGAAATTCATGTAATGTCATCTTTGGGTGATGCCATCTAGTCACATTGCTAAGAATTTTATATATCAACACAGTAAACCTAATATTTATAGACCCAATTAAGAAAAGTTACATATGTGAGTGTGTGCATGCATATAAAGGAGTATATAGGGATATGTGTTTGTACATATGTCGGTAGACACAGGTGTAGGTGGTATGTGCATGCATGCACACATGTGCACAAGTATACATCATCAATATAGAACTCAATATGGACTTTGGCACCAGTAATTCATGATATGAACTGCTTTCCCATGTCTTACTCCATGGTCTGCCAGATGAAAATATGTTCAAGAGTTGCTAGTCACAGAATGCTTCGTAAGAGGGCTGAACTTGAAGGTAGCCTGTGCAAAGAAACAGAAAGTACAAACCACCTTTCATAATTTCCTCCTTAATACTGTCAAAGAACTGATGTATTTCACACATAAACACACCGGCACCAAGACTAAAGGACAGGAGGAGGCCCAACTATAACAATGGTCACTTAAGATTTCTCCTTTTCTTGCATACACAGACACTCATACAAGCACTGAGTTTTGTTCCCGCTGCTGCCTACCACCTCTGGGTGCTAAAGAAGGGCAGAAGAGCTAAGCAGATGATGACAATGGACCTGCAGACAGAACCAAGAGACAAGCTGGTGAGCCACCTCATCAGTGGCACTGCCTAAAGGAATTACATCAACTTCTGGATTTCTCACTTGTAATACAAGGAAAACAAAACAGTATCATGTAGTAGGTTAATCTACCATTTACAACACTGGCATCCCATTTAAGAACGACAGTTTGAGTCCCAGCTGCTATACTAGGAAAGGCAGTGGACAATGGCCAGGCCTTTGGTCTTTATCACCCATGAGGGACACCAGGATGGAGCTCCTGGCTCTTGCCTTCAGCCTGTTGCAACACTGACTGTTGCAGCCATTTTGGGAGTGAATCAATAGATAGAATCTCCCCCCACTCCCTGCCTTCCTTCTCTCAATCTATCACACTGGCTTTCAAATAAATATATATATATATATTTTAAAAGGATAATGCAAGGAAAAGTGACAGTAATATATGTCACAGGGTCTGTACCAATTCCTAGGCCATACAATAAAAACTGCGAGAAGGCCCAGTCCCATTAACAGGTATCACATCCTTCCTTGCTCATTGTCTTCCCTGGAAACTCCCATAGATAGCGTAAATTGAGTTTCTTTTCTAGCAAAACACAAAGCACACGATCTAACCAACAGGGTCAAGGATGTCTAAAATGAGAAACTGGAGGTAAACATATGGCCTGAGTGGGAATGCTATCTTCTTTGTGAGCAATTCATATGTAGAGTGCAAGCTAGAAGAAATCACAGCCGGCTTCCAGGTGCCACAACCCCCCAGGCAGTCCCTGGGAGGCCTGTGGCTGACAGCAGTGCCAGTGTAGAGGTGCCCAGGGTCGCTCACCGCTCTGCAGGCTCAACAGCCCACTGTAGCTGCCTGGAGGGCCTTTGTAAAAGACTTTCCATACAAGGATCCCCTAACTTAGAAAGTAATTTGAAATTACCTAGTATGTTTCAAATATTGTGGAAGGGGTGCCATTCACACAGCTTTAGTGTCATGGGGACGTGCTGCGGAAAGCAGGCAGAGGTCACTGTAAAGATGCTGGCTCGCAGCAAAGCAGCAAACATAGCTCCAAAGGCTGCCGTCTCAAGGAAAGGAAGAAGTTTGTCTCTCTTGCTCTTAACAGAGTGACATTCTGAAATTCAGGTGGGGAGGGGCATACTGCTTCAACATTTCTGCCTCATATTGACAATGATCTAGTTCACCAAAAACTGTTTCTTTTCCTTTTCAAAACCTGCAGGTCATAAGTCAAGATGAAGATTGTGTTGCTTCTTTGTCTCCAAGAGTGACTGCTTCTTGACTTGCTTCTGAAGCACTAAGCATGCTCTTCCCTGTGACTATGAGTTAATGCTATTTGTCGGTAGCTGTCCTGAGGTTTTTAGGCATAAGACTCCAAAGAAAAATTTTTTTTCTCTCTTACTCAATAGCAGCAATAACAAAGGTCTTCACTATTCAAGGAAGGATGGATTAAGACATTGAAGTGAGGGCCTGATATGGTGGCTTAGTGACTAAAGTCCTTGCCTTGCATGAGCTGGCAACCCATATGGGCGCCGGTTCTAATCTTGGTAGTCCTGCTTGCTATCCAGTTCCCTGCTTGTGGCCTGGGAAAGCAGTCAAGGACAGCCCAAAGCCTTGGGACCCTGCACCAGTGCGGGAGACCTGGAAGAATTTCCTGGCTCCTGGCTTCAGATCAGCGCAGCATCAGCTTTTGTGGTCACTTGGGTAATGAATCATCGGACGGAATATCTTCCTCTCTGTCTCTCCTCCTCTCTGTATATCTGACTTTGCAATAAAAATAAATAAATCTTTAAAAAAAAAAAAGAAATAGAAGTGAGTTTTCTGAGAGGTAAGAGGTATGACAAAGGAACTGGTAAGCTTCCTCTCTGTTTCACCTCCCACTTAGCCCAGATAATCTTCTAAGATCAGACCCTGAATCTGTCAACAAATATGAAAGGCTCAGAATTCTCCTTTAGGTTTAAACTGCCAGTCCGCAAACATCGGCCATGCACAACCAGTAGGATCGGGGAAGATCCCATTTACATCACACAGCTCTAGAACTACAGCTGTTATTGCCAAAAGCTTCAGAATCACTCAGGCTCGCTTAGTAGGACAAGGGAAAAACACCCTCCGTGCCTCACAGCACTGAGCATGGCTATCATGATCGCATAAGCCTATGTACACTTTGAATCACACCTCCAGGGATTGTTGCACATTGATACTGTGGCACTCAGTGAGACCAATGACTATGAGCACAGCTGAAAAATTACTCAGAGATTACAATTCTGGGTTCACCTATAAACAAAATCAAAACAGCTACCCAACTGATACCCTACATTCCATCTAAACATAAAAGTCCTTTTCAATGAAAACTACTCCATAAAGAAGGAACTATTATACCAGAAGAATGGACATCAAAGTAGGTACATAATAAATACAAATAACGAAATATGACACATCCAAAAGAACAAACTACTTCTCCAGAAATAGACACTCATTTGAGCATAAAGATCAGGAAAACACAACAAGATACAGGAAATCGCAGAAATTCAAAGGAAAAGGATGAACAATCCTTGAGATGAGAGACAAATTTGACGAAAGGAGAGAAATTCTTAAAAGTAATCAGTTATTATGGAGCTGAACA